CTTCCCGAAATTGCGACCCTTCCGCCAAGGAGACACCCGTCTCTTCGATTAAAATGTGACGGCTGCGCTGCCCTGGGTAACTGTGCAGCCCGTCGCTTCACATTATCACCTCTGCTATAAATACCCCCTCGTTCTTCATTTCGTTCATTTTTCTTTCCTTTGGCCCTTTTCGGTAATCTTCCCGGCGTCTGGTTTTTCCCCCTTTTCCCGGCGTTTTGCTTCTTCCCCCTCCGGCGATTATTCCAGTTCTTTTCCCCAGGTACATTTACTCCTCTCTTTCTTTTTGTTTTCCTTTTGTTCGCCTCTACCTTCAAATGCCTATGGCCTCCTCCTCCTCTTCGTCTGGAGAGGCTCCTCTTCCTCCCCCCGCGGTTGGCTCCTCACGCGCCGCCGTGCCCAAAAAGAAAAAGAAAACAGTAACCTCCAAAGTGCGGGGTAAGCTCTTGTCTCGCAAAGCCGGCGAGGCTGGTGATCCAGCTTCTTCTCCACCCCAAGGTCGCGGAATTATCCGCGAACCTAAAACGAGAGAACCTACTGTATATATCCCCTCCGTCCCGGTTAAATCCATCCTTTCGGCCGATGATATAGCCGACCTCCTTATCCGCCAGGGTTTGGATGTGTCTTACGACATTGCCCTTCCGGACCCTTCCCAGGATTCCTTACATCCTCCTCTTGGCTTCAGTACTTGGTACTTGGACCAATTTCTTGCGGGTTTATCCCTGCCCATTCATCCTTTCTTCTTCGCTGTAGCGAACAAATATGAAGTCCCCCTTAACCAATTTCTCCCCAACTCTATAAAATTCATGTCCGCCTTTTTTATGATCTGTCTCGAAGCGGGCATTAACCCCTCCGCTGAACTTTTTCATTCAGCGTTTGTCCTAAATCACTCTCCTTCAAGCTTTTTTCATCTAACTTCTCGCCCTAGATTGGGCCTTTTCAGTGGATTGTCTAATAAAGTTCAAAATTGGCCACAAAGGTTCTTCTTTGTTCGCCCCCCCTTTCCCGAGGTTTTTCCGACTTCTCTTCTACTAGAACCCCCGACCCCTATAGCCGTGACGGAGGGGTGTAAGCCGTTTCTCGCGCATTTGGCCTCTCGCGCCCCTCCCGAGCGATGGGACGTTGAGAAATTGATCGCCAGCCCCCTTCTTTTTGCTCGCTCCGGCCTTTGGGCCATGTCTTGCCCTGACTCTCGCTCTCTTGGTACTTTCAATTCCTTTTTATTAATGTAAATGCCAATTATTCTGTTTATCTGATTGTTCTCTTTGCGTAGGCGAGATGATGCGAGAGGCTATGAAGGCGGCCTTGGCCAAACAACGTGCACAGTCCTCCTCTCGCCAGATCTCGGAATCCACGAGTCATGCTCCTTCCACCCGCCAACCCTCTCCGGACAGGGCTGTGACGAGTGTGGCTCTTGGCGCTTCCTCCGTCCCTCCGCGAGCTGCGACCTGGGAACCCATCATCGAGGTCGGCAGCGAGAACACTGCCCAGGGAGTCCCTGACTTATCGATTTCCGCCGAGAGGACTCCGTCCGGCGCGGGGGGTCCGAGACCTCTGTGTATCCCGGAGAATGAAGGAACTTCGCTCGCCTCGAAGCGCTCTCGGATCCGTGAGGGCGGCTTCCTGTCTTCTTATCACCCGGACATTCCCATGGAAGACCTACTTCTACATTTCGACCAGTTGAGGTGTGCGGAGGATGTACCGGCTCTTGAACGGCTGTCCCCTGAGCTAAAACAAGCTCGCCTATTATTTCATGCGTCTCAGGTAGGTCCACAGCTCTTTATGATTTTACCGAGACGACTTGCCGTCCTAGAATATTACCCTCGCGTGTTTTTATGCTTAGATTGATGGTTTTATCTCCTTAGGTGAACGTGCTTTTAGCCCATGGCTTGGGTGCGGACGAGACCTCTCGCCAAGCTGAGATCGCCCGTCTCAAAAGGGAGATCAGCGAACAATCCTTGGAAGTGACCCAGTTGCGGGATTATGTTCGTCAACTGAAGCAGGCCAAGGAGGTCTCGGACGAGAAGGTTAAGACGGAGGCCCAGAAATATAGGGAGATGAAGGCCTCCCTGGAGAGTAAAATCAGGAGGCTAGAGGCGGAGAAAGAACAAACGATGGCTGTGGCTCGCGAGACCACAAAAAATATGGAGATAGAATGCATCCGCGCGGTGGCGCACGAGAGGGCCAAAGGGTTATATGATACTCTCTGTTCGCCGAGTGGACAGCATTTTCTGTCCAAGTATCGTGAGGCCTTAATCAATAACTATCCCCTATCGATGCATTTTGCCTCGAAAGCGGCCTCCATCGGAGTTGGTTATTTCGAACGTGGGATTCGCTTGTACGCAGAGAGGAACGGTTATCCCGATCCTACTGAAGTCATAGGCTACTTGCTCGATCAGCTTGGCGATGAGATTCCTGGATGGGAGGGCAACCCCGAGGAGCCACTCGACTATGATTGGTGGTCGAGGGTCCTTGAAGAGATGCTCGCTTCTCTTAACCGCTATGCCTCTCACGCTCCCTCGACAGTGGCTCAGATGGACTCAGGCAACCCGTTCGTCTCCGATCCTCCTTCTGGCTCAGCCCCCGTTCTCGCAGCCGATGTATCAACAATGATTGTCGAGCCCCCGACTGCTGCCGATGCTCTCGCTCCTTGAAGAAATATTTCTATTGTTTTTTTTTTTTTTTCAAAACACTTGAAGTAAAAAAACTCTTGCATCCTATTTCCAATTTAGTTGCTTCCTTTCGAATATTTATTTTTATCGAGAGTTTTGTGTGTTTAAAAATGCTGTATTCAGTCTTAATTCTTTCGAGGATTCTTTTCGAAATTGGGCCTTCACTATGTTCATGTATCTCGAATTCTATCGATTTCTCCTGGAGCTTATGCTCTCGCAATTTCTATCTTCCTCGAATTCTATCGAGGAATTCTCTGAGCTCGTGCTCTTTTTATTTTCATGGCTCTCGACTTATGTCGAGGGCCACTTCAGTGGACTTAGGTCCTGATGTGTTTCGATTTATGCAAGTATATCAAAAAAGGCCTTTTCATATTGTGTTGTTACGAGGAAAATTGCTCGCCCTTCGCTATGCGGGACGAACTACAATACGAGCCCTATATCTACAAAATACGGGATGTTCTATCATGTTTCCCGTTTTACACGTAATATTTTTTCAAGTGGCAAACATTCCAAGCACGTGCCACCTGCTTTCCTGACATATCCCTTAGCATATACGCTCCTCCCGCAAGAACTTTTTCCACTTTATATGGTCCTTCCCATTTTTCCATCAGCTTGCCCACCTGTTTTAATGCATCGGCTTGTCTGAGGACCAAGTCTCCGACCTGGAACGATCTCGCTCTCACCCTTTTGTCATACGCAACTTTGATCCTTGCTTTACTTATCTCCATTTTGAGCCTTGCGTCCTCCCGTTTTTCCAATATTAAGTCTAAGTTTTCTCGCAAGCGCTGGTTGTTAGCCGTTTGTTGAAAGTTCATGATCCTACTTGATGGCATTCCTACCTCGACCGGGATTACTGCTTCTGACCCATATACTAGCGAGAACGGGCTGTCCCCTGTTGATTCCTTCCGTGATGTTCGGTACGCCCATAGGACAGCGTGCAACTCTTCCACCCAGTTTCCTTTGGCGACCTCTAATCGTTTTTTTATTCCTTCGAGTATTATTCGGTTTGTCACCTCGACTTGGCCATTCGCCTGCGGGTGTGCTACGGCAGCAAACCGCTGAGTTATCCCTAGACCTTCGCACCACTCGCGTATCTTTTTCGAGTTGAACTGTGTGCCGTTGTCCGAGATGATATTTTTGGGCAACCCATAACGGCAACAGATATTCTGCCACAAGAATTTTATAATCTCTGTATCTGTGATTTTTGCTACCGCCGCAGCTTCAACCCATTTGCTGAAATAGTCAACCGCGACTACCAAGAACTTTCTTTGGCCGCTGGCGAGCGGTAGTGGTCCGACAATATCGATCCCCCACTGTGCGAATGGATGTGGTGCGGTAATGACCGTCATCTCCTCCCCCGGAACGTGTATTAATGGCCCATGTTTCTGGCATTTATCACATCTTCGGACAAACTGCATCGCGTCCTTCCTCATGGTTGGCCAAAAATACCCGCTTCTCAGAACCCGTGCGATTAAAGCTCTTCCTCCAGCATGATCGCCACAACAGCCTTCGTGGATTTCTCGCAGTACGTATTGGCCTTCTTGTACGCTGAGGCATCGTAGATGCGGCCTTGTGTATCCCCTTTTATACAGAATGTCTCCATCGAGACAGAAATGCTTTGCTCGGTGATTTAGTCTGGTTATCTCTCGCGAACTTCATTGCTTTTTATCCAAGAGATAATTCTTTATTTATGCGCGCCAATCCTGCACTTCCATTACCCCCAATATTTCACGACCGACCTTTAAAGATGGCTCCCCCATTATTATTTGCACCGTTCGCGACTCGCAGCTTACGTCCATACTTCCTACTTTGGCTAAGAAGTCGGCTCTCGCGTTCTCTTCTCTCAGAATCCGTCTCAGGTCTACCCCCTCAAATTCTTCCATAAGCGCTCGTGCTTTCTCGCAGTAACTATTCATCCTGCTGTCCTTGGCCTCGAATTCCCCTTTTATCTGTTGGACTATTAACTGGGAATCTGAAAACAAGGTCATTCTTCTCGCTCCTACAATCGCGGCCAATTTTAGACCGTGTATTACCGCCTCATATTCTGCCTCATTATTGGAAGCTCGGAAAGGCAGCTTGATCGCGTATTCTGCATCCTGCTCATCGCCTACTTTATGCAAAACGACTCCTGCTCCACTTCCCATTGAATTAGCAGCACCATCCACAAAAATCCTCCATTCCGCCGCCTCACTGGTCCTTGTGGTTTCTTGCAAAAAATCTGCCAGGGCTTGGCCTTTGATCGCTACGCGGGATTCATATTCTATGTCGAACTGTCCGAGCTCAACCGCCCATTTTACCATCCTCCCCGAGACATCAATTCTTCCTAACACCGTTCGCATCGGGTGGTTGGTTCGGACGACTATAGTATGCGAGAGGAAATACGGTCGGAGTTTTCGAGCTGCTGTTACCAATGCTAGACCAATTTTTTCAATTTCGGTGTACCGCTCCTCCGGCCCGCGTAGAAGCCTACTCGCATAGTATACTGGACTTTGCTTTCCTTCTTCCTCTCGGATCAGCACCGAGCTTACTGAATATTTGCCTACGGACAGATATACATACAATTTTTCTCCCGCCTTTGGTTTGGTTAACAATGGCAATTGTGCGAGCATTGCTTTTAGTTGTGCAAAGGCGACCTCTGATTCCTCTGTCCACATGAACCCGGAACCCTTTCTTAGTATTTTGAAGAAAGGGTAGCTCGCCTCACCGGATCTGGATATAAATCTACTCAGTGCTGTGATCCTTCCCGCCAGCGTCTGGACCTCCTTAATATTTCTTGGCGCCCTCATGTCTATGACTGCTTGCACCTTTTCTGGGTTCACCTCTACTCCCCTTTCGGTGACCATATAACCAAGGAACTTGCCCGTTCGAACACCAAAAGCACATTTATCCGGATTGAGCTTCATTCCGTACTGTCGCAAAGTATGGAAGGTTTCTTCAAGGTCCTCCAAATGCGTTTTTGCTTTTTTGCTTTTCACGAGCATATCATCCACATATATTTCCATATTTCTTCCCAACTGTGTTCGGAACATCCGATCCATCAATCGCTGATAAGTTGCTCCCGCATTTTTTAGGCCGAAGGGCATTACCGTGTAACAGTAGGTACCCGTCGATGTGATAAAACTTACTTTGGACTGATCCTCCCGATCCAGGGGTATTTGATGATAGCCCTGAGATGCGTCCATCATACTCAACATTTCGCACCCGGCCGTTGAGTCTACCAGCTGGTCGATCCGTGGGAGTGGATAATATTCCTTTTGGGCATGCCTTGTTGAGATCGCGGAAGTCGATGCACATTCTCCATTTGCCAGCTCCCTTCTTTACTAGGACGGCATTGGACAGCCAGGTGGGAAATCTTATTTCCCGGATTTGGCCTGCCGCTAGCAACTTTTGTACTTCTTCTTGAATTATTTTGTCTTTCTCTGCTCCAAAATGTCTTCTCTTCTGTTTGACCGGCCTGACTCCTGTTTTGATATTCAACTTATGAACAGCCAATCGACTGTCGATTCCCACCAAATCCTTTGTTGAGAATGCGAACACGTCTTGGTTCTCACGCAGAAACTTCGTTAATTGTTCTGTCATCGTGGCATCCATATCCCTACCGATTCGGGTTGTGCGAGTGGCATCCTCAGCGCATAGTCGCACAGTCAATAACTCCTCCATAGGTCGCACATGGCTATCCTCCTTGTCGGGGTCGATTTCCGGACGAGACTCGTCTTCTTTCATCGCACCAGCTCGCCCACTGTGAATGGCGTCTATCCTCCCCGTTCGCCTTAATGCATCGTAATAACATCTTCTCGCGGTTTCTTGGTCTCCCCGTACTTCGCCGATCTGGTCTCCCATCGGGAACTTTAATTTCATGTGGTAAGTGGACACCACAGCTCAGAATAAATTCATAGATGGTCGACCAAGTATCATGTTGTAGGTGGAAGGGACATCTAGTACCAGAAAGTTTATCGATCGGGTGGCTCGCACAGGCTCCATACCTAGCGAGATGGGAAGGCAGACTTCCCCCAGAGCCTGCACCGTTTCGCCCGAGAACCCCATCAAACTGGTTTCCACATACTTTAATTCGAAATTCATGTTCATCTGTTTGAAACAGCTATAAAAGATGACATCCGCCGAGCTTCCCGTATCCACTAGTATTCGTGCGATATCGAAGTTGGCCACCATAGCTGTGATCACCAGTGCATCTGTATGAGGTTGTTGTATCCCCTCTTCATCTACCCTTCCAAACATAATGGGAGGAACTTGAGATACTCTCTGTACTTCGGCAAGCTGTGACTCCATCTCGTAAAGCATTTGTAAATTTGCTCGACTTGCCAAATCAGCCGCTTCCACTTCCCCAAAGAGCTCTTCCGTTTCCCTCAATTGCCTCAGATGGGCCCTCCGGGCTCTGTTAGAATCACCACCCGACGGTCCCCCGTGTATCATATGGATGAATCCTCCTGTCGGGGGTTGCTCCTTTCGTTCGCCCGCCTTCTCTCGTGTATTTTCGGGTCGGTTAACACCGGCTCTATCATGCGGGATCGCCCTGTTCGCCGAGAGTTGTCCAGTTTTGACAAACTCAGGCAAGTTTTTTGCCCGGATCAACCTTTCTATCTCGTCCCTTAGATGCTGGCATTCGTTTGTGGTATGCCCGTAATCATTATGAAATCGACAGAAACTCCCCGCGACAGGATTTTTCTTAGGAACTTCGGAGTAGGTGCGAGGCCACTTCAATTTGGGGTGATTCTCGATGGCCATCAGAATTTCGGCAGGAGGTGCGACCAACGAGACATAATTTTCAAACCGAGGGCCCACCTTTCTTTCCCCTAATCCCTCCTTTCTGGCTACGAGGGGTCTTTGTATCTTCTCTTCCTTCCTCTCTTTTCTTTTGTCCACTCCTTTGTCGACAGCCTTACCCAGTTCTGCCTCCTCCGCGTTCATATATCGCTCCGCCTTTCTTAATAATTCATTGAATGACAGAGGGGGTTTTTTGGATATGGAGGTAAAGAAATCTCCCAATCTTAGCCCCTGGGCTAAAGCGTTGATTAAGACCTCCTCGGAGGTTATTGGTACCTCTAGCGTGGCTGTTATGAAGCGCTTGACGAAGCTTCGTAGGTGTTCTCCCTCCCGCTGTTTGACGGTGAAGAGGGTCAAGGTACTTCTCTTTTGCTTTTTGGAGCTCGCAAAATGATCAAGGAAAACGGAGGCGAGTTGGTCGAAACTGCCTATTGACGAAGGTCGCAACTGGCTAAACCATGCTTGGGCCGGTCCTGCGAGAGTGGTAGTGAACACCCTGCATTTTACCCCTTCCGAGAAACGATGCAGGTCCGAGGTGTTGTTAAACCTACACAGATGCTCATTTGGGTATGTAGTTCCCAGATACTCGTACATGACCGGTCGAAAAGACCCCGGGAGTTCGTCGTCTAGTATTTGTGTTGTAAACGGACTCTTCTTAGTATGTCCCTTCTCTCGCTGCTCCATTACCATGGGGGTTGGGTTGGGCAACTCTCGCTCCCTGGGCGGCTCCTCCACTTGGTCCGTGTACCTCAAGCGTCTCTTCGTAGGTGGCAGTCCGTCTTGCTCTCTTCTTTCACTCGGCGACCCACTTTGAACTGCGGCTGCGAGCAGGGCCTGGAGTGATTCCATGGTTAGGGTTACCGTGGAGCCAACCGTCGCTGAGTCCGGAGTATGTAGGATTTCTACTTGCTGGGCGGGAGTACCCTCTATGTAAGTTTTTTGAACATCCGTTCCAAGCGCTGGGCTGACTCCTGCTAGATCAGACGGGACCAGCCCTCTCGACTGGGAGTATCCATTTTTATTGTTTTTGTGTATATTCTTATTTTGGAATAGGAAAAGGAAAGATGATTTTGGAAAAAGGCTTTTGGGGCTTTCCTTTAATGGGCCAAACCCACAGACGGCGCCATTTGATCAGGCGATATATGCTGTTGGGCCCCTCACGACGGAATATGTTGAGGCTTCTCTTGGATCCTAGAACATAAAAGAAAGAAACACCGGACGGAGGCCGGGATTAGCACTCCGACGGTCAAGTCAGTATATTATTGGACTTTAATGATATGAAAGAACAAAACTGTATATTTTTCTGTCAATTATCTAGATCTGAGTTGTGTTTGAAAATAATAAATCTATTACTATTTATAGGAAAAGCTTTTCCTAGCGGATTCCAAATACGGATTTCACCACTATTTTTGTTGTCATCTCCAACATTACCTGTCTTCTTGAGGAACAGTATTATGAACAGTGTTGTGGGCTGCTTATTCCCCAGACTACATATTCTCTGACATCTGACACTAGGGGGCATTAAATACAAGTCGAGAGGCTCTCGCCTTCCTGCGACCGGAATAGTCTACCTCTCGCTCTCATGCCCTCTTTCCAGCGAGATACCCTACATTGATTTACCAAATCACCTAGTCTGGGTGAATCACCTAGCCTGCATATTCTCTCTGTTATTCCTGACATTTGAGAGGACGTGCAATAAATGCGAGTCGACCTCATATGATTTCCTTTACAGAACGTATCTACTCTCTCGATGATTTCCCTCTCGCTCTCGATGATTTCCCTCTCGCCGAAGAGTTCCTTTTATACAGCGAGAAGGGCCTCCACTAGATCTCGATCATTGGGCCCTTGTTGGGCTTTCCTTTAATGGGCCAAAATTTCTACCGGATCAACTAATTTGATCAGCCGATATATGCTGTTGGGCCCCTCACGACGGAATATGTTGAGGCTTCTCTTGGATCCTAGAACATAAAAGAAAGAAACACCGGACGGAGGCCGGGATTAGCACTCCGACGGTCAAGTCAGTATATTATTGGACTTTAATGATATGAAAGAACAAAACTGTATATTTTTCTGTTAATTATCTAGATCTGAGTTGTGTTTGAAAATAATAAATCTATTACTATTTATAGGAAAAGCTTTTCCTAGCGGATTCCAAATACGGATTTCACCACTATTTTTGTTGTCATCGCCAACATTACCTGTCTTCTTGAGGAACAGTATTATGAACAGTGTTGTGGGCTGCTTATTCCCCAGACTACATATTCTCTGACATCTGACACTAGGGGGCATTAAATACAAGTCGAGAGGCTCTCGCCTTCCTGCGACCGGAATAGTCTACCTCTCGCTCTCATGCCCTCTTTCCAGCGAGATACCCTACATTGATTTACCAAATCACCTAGTCTGGGTGAATCACCTAGCCTGCATATTCTCTCTGTTATTCCTGACATTTGAGAGGACGTGCAATAAATGCGAGTCGACCTCATATGATTTCCTTTACAGAACGTATCTACTCTCTCGATGATTTCCCTCTCGCTCTCGATGATTTCCCTCTCGCCGAAGAGTTCCTTTTATACAGCGAGAAGGGCCTCCACTAGATCTCGATCATTGGGCCCTTGTTGGGCTTTCCTTTAATGGGCCAAAATTTCTACCGGATCAAGCTCGAACATCGAGCTTTCTTTGGATGAGCTCCAACTCGTCCAACTCGAGCTCAGCGCATCTTATATTTTATTTATATTTACAATGTTTATACAATACTAATTGTAGTTTCTATTATAAATTCCTTATATTAAAAAAGAAAATTACAAAATAAGACATTAGTCTGTAATTTTTTAAATATATTTGCATATATATATATATATATATATATATAAAACTCGTGAGCTCATTAACACCTAAAGAGGGGATCGAGGGCCTTAATTTGATCTTGTCTTGGGCTGAGTAATCTATAAAAGAAAATGGCTTGGGCTGATTCAGCCCGAAATAATAATAATAATAATAATAATAATAATAATAATAATAATAATAATAATAATAATAATAATAATAATAATAATAATAATAATAATAATAATAATAATAATAATAATAATAATAATAATAATAATAATAATAATAATAATAATAATAATAATAATAATAATAATAATAATAATAATAATTCCCAAGAAAATAAACGTGTTGTTATTTGTGAAGGATTAGTAAAATAATACGACAGAATCCGATAAAAGGAAAAAAGAAAACCAATATATATATATATATATATGACCAAGTGGAATTAGATTATAATATTTTTATTAAAGTATATTGTGCGTGTCGAGTTATCGTCTCCAAAACAAAAACCCTCAATCCGAAATTCAATTTTTGTTTTCTAGGGTTCCGCCATGGAAGAGGGCAAAGCGACTGAAGCAGCGATCGCCGCCGAAATTCAATTACCAGAAGCAATCATCCAACGCATACAATCTCTCCTCAGCAGGAAACAAGCGGCCCAAACGATTCTCCTCTCGAAATCGTGGCACAGGGCCTGGTCGACTCGCCCCAACCTCGCGCTCGACACGCGCGATTTCCGATCGCCGGGCAGCTTCTCGGCCTTCGCGGCGAGGACGATGGAGAGGTACGAGAAATCGGATCTGACGATCGTGAACCTGAGGCTGTATCTGGACATTCGGAATCGGGAATACAAATCTCTGGCCACTCAGTTGATAATCAAAGCGCTGAAGATCGGAGTTTTGAATCTGACTGTTGAGTTCCGCGTCGCGGATTCCGTATCCCCTGCGGCGGCGGTGGTGGTGGTGGAATCGCGAGTCGAGACGGTGGTGCGGTGGTCGGTGACTGGCCGTGAAATTGGGCGGGGGAAGAATTGCCTGCGGCATAAACCCCTGAAATCGATCGGAGAGTTTGTAATTGATGAAATATTTGGGAATATGATTCCGGTGTTACCGCCGGTTGAGAATCTATGGTCGTATGAATGCGGTTGCTTGGCTCAGTTGAAGAAAATTACTATCTTCAGAGATGTGGTTGCATAGGGGATTTTCATTGTTCATAGGTTTATTTTCATAGCCACTTTATTTTTTTTTTATTTTTTTATTTTTTATTTTTTTAATTTAAATTTTATTTGGTACCTTTTTTTTATTATATATGATTCTGAATTTATGAATCTTTGATTATCATAATAGTATTTGAATTAGATAGATTTGCAGCGATCCGGAACTACAATAAAATCTCGATAAATAATAAGTTTCTTTTGGTCTTGACTTGGTAAAAATTCCATTAAATTATGAGGTCGATAATTTAATATTTCGTTAGAGTAATAGAATTTGCTAATTGCGAATATATTAATTTATAAATGGTTAACTGTAATTGATTTATTGTTTTCTTTTTACTTGCAAACTATGACCATTAATTTAAATACCAATGAATAGAAATACAGTCAAAAACTTCTACTTGCGAACAAAATTTGAAGCATCATTAATTTAATTCAAACAACAAAGAATAAATCGATGGGCAGGATGAACACTGAAAAAATAGTTATTTAGCATAAGTTTAGTTTTAATATCGTTATTTAGCCTAAGTTTAAGGGGTTTCGTAATTTACCCAAGTAAATAAATAAGATAATGATAGAATAAAAGGGGGTGGAATTAGGTTTTAATATTTTTATTAAAGTATTGTACGCATCAGTCATTCAGTTGTCGTCATCACTCCAAAAACCTTAATCCGAATTCAATTTTGATTTCTAGGGTTTTCGCCATGGAAAAGGGGAAAAGGATTCAAGTAATGGAAGCAGCTGAAATTCCACTACCAGAACCAATCATCCATCGCATTCAATCTTACCTCAGCGAGAAACAATCTGCTCAAACAAGCATCCTCTCGAAATCATGGTACAGCGCCTGGCTCACGCGCCCCGACCTCGCGTTAGACGAACGCAATTTCGCCGCAGCAGCAGCACACAGTTTCTCGGATCACGCGGCGAAGACGATGGATAGGTACGAGAAATCGAATCTGAAGATCGAGAATTTCAAGCTATGGCTGCACATTGGGAACAGAGATAGAAGATCTCTCGCCAATGAATTGATCCGTAGAGCGCTGAAGATCGGCGTTTTCAATCTCTCTCTCAAACTCCGCCTCCCGGATTCCATAATCCTCACGTCGACGCTCGAGACTCGATTCGAAAACACGGTCCGGTTGTCGGTGACAGGCGGCCGGGCGGATTGTCCGCGGCATAAACCCCTTAAGTTGATCGGAGAGTTTACGGTGGATGATCTCGTCAATGAGGACGTAATTACGCTATTCCCATCGATCGAGAAACTGTGGTCGTACGAATGCGGCTGCTCGGCTGCTGTTCGGAAAGCTACTCATGTTAGAGTTCTGGAATCAAAGATTCAGCGTAGGGGATTTTCACTTTTCCATTACTGATTTTTCATTTTTTTTAATTTTTAATTTTTAGATTTTCATTTAATTTTTTTTTACCTATTTTATTTATATGATTCTGAATTTTTAAGAAACACACTAGAGTGAGCAATTTTATATATATTTCATATGTATCTAATGCAACTTTGAGCTGCAATCTGATTATAGGAAACTAAAATCAGAGTTTAATCTAAAGACTAAATATATAACTAGTTTTAATTTTGGAGAAATTAATGTTGTAATAATTGTTACATGTTCTAGGACATAATCTCTAGTGCCTCCCTTGCTTTGCCAAGAATGTTGCAAACAGTTGCTGCAATGTGAGAAGGTGTTAGCCCGGCTTCCATCTGTTGATCGATCGGCGATCCGTGGTCGATATATCGGTCGGGCAGAACCAATGGCCTCCACTAAAAAAAAATCAGTTATTTATAGCCAATACACAGGTTTATTTCAATATAATTCTAGAACGGAAAATCAGCATTCCGTCGATTTCGATCCGAAAATTTTCCATTTTGGAACAATACTTTTCATTCTGAAGTTCGAAAGTTCCAATTTCGGATTTTTATGATTTTGTTTTTTGGAACAAAATTGGAATAGTTATTAGATTTCGATTTTCGATCCAATTTTAGTTTACGAAAATTCGGGTTATATTTTGAAAATTCCGCATATAATATCAATATTATTATGTATTTCGTATTATAGGTTATCAAAAAATTTGAATTTCCAAAAATCCGCGTTTTCTGATAGGAAAATTTTTCGATTAAAGGAGTAAGTTTTCCACGTCCGAAAAAAATTGAAATTATGATCTAATTCGTCCGATTTCCACCCCCGAATTAAAACCAATTTAGAAATAAAGAGAAGTGATACTAAATGATTCAAGATTTGTACCTTCAAATTACCATCAAGAAGTCCATCGAGAGCCATGAACTGCGCTACGTGGGATCCGAACCCACCGATGGAACCTTCTTCAACAGTGATCAAGACTTGGTGCGATTTGGCCAAGCTTCGTATAAGATCATGATCCAACGGCTTACAAAATCGAGCATCAGCAACCGTCAACCTTATACCGTGGGGCTCCAACAATGCAGCTGCAGCCATACAGCTCTGGACAGCTGTCCCATATCCCAATAGAGCCACTCTCTCCCCTTCGATCAATACTCGCCCCTTCCCTATCTATAAAAAAAATACTCAAAACAAATTAACTCAGTCAATAAGGGTTTTTTGTGTTTTCATGAAGGGCAGTTTAGTCAACTATGTATCTTTGCCTAAAATTCTTTCACATTAACCGAAACCTTAAAATAGTGAGGGGGGCCAAATATACACTAAAGTTGTCCCGGGGTGGTGCGCGACAATACTATACTATACTAGGTTTTTGAGAAACGGTAGGGGGGGTCATGACCCCCCTACCTACCGTTTTAAACAACCGTTATTTTGAAACAGACACAAAAAAATATAATGAGTAGACAAAAAAATGTACCTCAATGGGAATGCCCTTATTACCCTTTGGCAACTCTATCCCTACACCGTTGCCTCTCGGAAAACGGAAACAACTCGGCCTATCGTCTATAGCAGCAGCAGTTGCAACCATGTGAAATAATTCAGCCTCGTCCGAAGGAGCCATCACCACCATGTTTGGTAAACATGCCATATAAGTCACGTCGAACGCTCCACAATGCGTGGGCCCATCTGCCCCAACTAATCCAGCTCTGTCCATAGCAAATCTCACCGGAAGCTTCTGCAAGTCCACGTCATGCACTACCTGCATTTTTTTCGGACAACATAGTACAAATATTAAGGAATCTTGAAATTCCAAAAAAAAAAGAAAAAGAAAAGAGAAAAAAGAGATGGATATTTTGTTACCTGGTCGTAAGCTCTTTGCAAGAAAGATGAGTAGATTGCGCAAAAGGGTTTAATGCCTTCGCAGGCTAAACCTGCGGCGAAAGTTACTGCATGCTGTTCGGCTATTCCGACATCGAAGCATCTTGTCGGAAATCGGCGTTGGAAGAGGTTTAAGCCTGTCCCACCTCCCATAGCTGCGTGTATCGCAACTATATCCTTATCCGCTTCTGCTTCGGCTATCAAAGCCTCTGCAAAGTAAGTTGTGTAGGACTGAGTCGGAGCGCTCGATTTGAATTGCTTTCCAGTTGCCGGGTCGAATTTCGTCACTCCTGAAAAAATGCTAACTCGTAAATTCATTGCAAAAAAAAAAAGATTTAGGGGTGATTCTTCTTTTTTTTTTTTTTTTACCGTGATATTTATCTGCGGCTTTTTCTGCGTAAGGGTAACCCCTGCCTTTCTCGGTGATGACGTGGATCAAGACTGGACCGGTTGTTTTAGTACTTTTGACTTCATTAAGGATTGCTGTAAGGTCGTCAAGATTGTGACCGTCGACTGGACCGATGTAATAAAGTCCGAGTTCTTCGAAGAATGTTGAACCTGAACCGCTGATTAGGCCACGGGCATACTCGTCTACTTTTGCTGCCAGTTCGTGCATGGGCCCACCTATCTGCTTCGTCACTCCCTGCAAAAAAAAAAAATATTATATTACTAAGGAGAAAATCGAACGGATCAGATTGGAACTAGAATTCTCGGGGGAAAATAAAACATTTTTTTTTACTCTTAATACTAACCTTAGCAACTTCTCTTAGTTCTCTAAGCGGACGATTAGACTGCAACCTGCTCAAAGCACTACTCAACGCTCCCACGGGAGCGGTGGGCCCATCCAAATTAGCAGTCGGCAAAGAAACTTGTTTGTTATCATTAAGAATAACAATCATGTCCGAATCAAGATATCCGGCGTTATTCATTGCTTCGTACGCTTGTCCAGCTGTCATCGCCCCATCGCCTATTACAGCCACCACGTTGTTTGATTTCCCTTTTAAGTCCCTACCCACAGCCATTCCTTCTCTCAGCCAAAAAAATCCAAAAAAAACATGAGAATCGAAACCATCGTTCATGTCAATTTAGTGACACTAATAATTTATCACTAATTCTAAGGAGCTACTAATGACAACTACGGGGTGGAAATCGGAAATTTTCGGATCGGAATTGGTGGAATTCAAAAAAATCCAAATTTTTAGTCAACTTCAAATATAAAATGCTTTATAATATTGATATAAGTGTAATTTTAGGGAAAATCGGATCTTTCGGAATAAAAAATATTATTCCAAAATCGGAAATTTTCGGATCGGAATCAACAAAAATCGTAAGCATTTAGTGACATCATTTTCTTGAAGTGTACGATGTATTACCTAATCCAGCAGAGATTGTGGTAGAACTATGGCCGGTGCCAAAGCAATCGTAATCACTTTCGGACCGTTTAGTAAAACCCGAAAGACCGTTTGTCTGTCTTAAAGTCGGCATTTTGTCTCTTCTTCCGCTCACAATCTTATGCGGATAAGACTGCATCATACATTAAATAACAAGATTATCTAACACAACCACACAATTACACTCATTCTTTTATTAAATTAAGATAAAAAAATATATATATGGTAAGTAACTATTACTTGATGACCAACATCCCAGAGTATTCTATCTTGAGGAGTGTTGAAAACGAAATGAAGGGCAACGGTTAATTCGATTACACCAAGACTCGAACCGAGATGGCCGCCGGTTTTCGAGACATTGAAAATGACATCGGATCGTAGTTCGTCGGCTAGTTGCTTCAGTTCCTGTATTAATAATTAATTCATAATTAGAGTGCTGATTAAGACAAATAACTGAAAATCTTGAAAAATAGACATATATATATATATATATATATATATATATATATATATATATATATATATATATATATATATATACGTTTAGATTACCTTTGTGGAGAGATTCTTCATGTGAATTGGATAGTTGATAGTGTCAAGAAGTGGAGTTGGGGGTTTTTGGGAGAAGTATTCACCTCTTTCTGACAGTGATGCATACACTCCATTTGAGCTTTTTCTTACCTTCTAAAACAAAAACCACTATTTATAATTTATAAATAAATTATATTTAAAAAAAAAAGGACAAACATTTCAATTAGTCGTCATAAATTATAGGGCAAATTACGGTCACACTGAGGTAAGGTCAAATTACGCAAAAACCCTTCTTGTATGGATCTTCTTATATGTTCACCCCTTAACTATGAATCTTCTTACATGTTCACTTTTATGGTATCAAATTCAACGGAATCTTCTACATTCTGTGGAATATTCTCTAGTTTGTACTAGTTTTGTGCAAAAACGCAGTTTCTGATGCACCGCAATCTGATATTTACAAGCTAAGAGACGCATCTTATGATCATCTTGTTTCAAAATATGGAGCTTGAATAGAGTAAAATGAGTACAAACTGGATAATATTCCACATAATTTAGAATATTCTACTAAATTTGACACCACAAGAATGAACGTGTAAGAAGATTCATAGTTGATAGACGATTGTAGTTACCAAATAAAGAGGGTATTTTCCGTAATTTAACTTTACCGACCGTAATTTACCCTATAAACTATAATACTATATTTAGAGGTGAAGATATGCAAAAATGGACCCAAAAACAAAATAATATAAACAAAGATGTACACAGTATACCCAATCAGATAAGCACAGTTACCAAATCAGAATCTAGACCACACAAATCTATTTTTATTTTTAATGCTAAAAAAAATGAAAATCTCGTAACTCATGTCCAAGATTCAAGATTGGCAAATGGGCACCTTCGAAAATAAAAACAAAAATAAAATGAACAAATTTCAGACCTGATGATTCTTCTTGCAGCAAGGGTGGGGCTGTAAACCCGACCCGTTTAGCCAATGGGTACCCGTTAACCCTTTGCTCAAACTCCCAGTAAATGGAAATGCGCAGAGAGCCATCGCATATGTATGTATATATAATTATATAATTATATATATACACACACACTTCTGTACAAAGGTTTTAACCAAAAAAGAAAAAAAGAAAAAGTAAAGATTTAGTTCAAAATAATAATCAGCTCTTACTCTTGTCTGCTCACACACACATTCCAACTTTACTGTGTGTTTTTTTTTTCACTCTCTGCTTATATTTGAACTATTAAGGAAGGTAATAGAAAAGGTTAATTTTTTGAATGATTGTGTGTGTGTGTAAGAAGGTAGAAGAAGATTTACAGAAGGAGATTTACAGAAAAGAGTTGTAATAAATGCAGAGGATTCTTGATTATTAATCAGAAAATTGGTAATTGCTTTTCTTGGTGGAGCATTTATATATATTGACAGCACAATACCTTTCGGTTTGAGTGTGTGTATGTGTGTCTATATGTGTATGTAAGAGAAACACAGAGGGGGAGGGGTGATGCTATTGGGCCACGTCGACAGAAATCACAAATGGATAGAAATATGATAAATAATAAATTTATTTTTCCAATTGGGAAGAAACGAATTAAAATGAAGAAATGGGCATTCTTGAAAAGAAACAAATTTTGAAGAAATGGGGGGTATGGGTGTTAATTTATTAATATTTTTTTTTTACAAATGAGGTCGGGTTATATAAGTGCACTGAATAAATTATGTTATCGTAAAGTAGTCGTTAATTGTACATGTAACTAAAAGAGCACTAACAAATTATATGCAACGAGTTCGATTTAAACAGTGTTCACGAATGAGATTAAGCTCGAGTCTGCACATGCTTTAATTAGTCTATCAGCTATGTGAGTATTGTTGACTTTTGACTGTAGAATATTTTAGGATAAGAATTTGAAAAATAAAATAATAATTATATGTATTTTGAGAATAGATCAAAATTGAAAAAAAAAATTAATAACAATAATCTTGTTTTAGGAAAAAAAAAATAGGAATGATTTCAAAATTTGCCAAACAAACCTTAAATTCTCACCTTAAATTTGCCAAACATAACCTTAATTTTTAACATCTTTCTTTTATATAATAACCAAATTGTAAGAGAAATAATGTAAGAAACAAACACTATGTGCTGATTTTATCAAGGGGTAAATTACAACTACCTCCCTGAGGTAAAGTCTATTTACGAACAAACCCCTCATTTTTTACACATTACATCCCAACCCTTGTAGTTTGTAAATTTCTTACATACACGTCCCTACAAAAGGGTGTTAATGTAAAAAATCTATAAATTACAAGGGTCTTGATGTGATTATGGAAATACTAGGGGTGTTTCGTAAATAGTCCTTACCTCAGGGGGATGGTTGCAATTTACCCTTTATCAATTACCATTACTATATGAACTGAAAGCCTTGTTTGCAGTTGACCTAAAAAGTGATGGAATTAAAAAATGATTAATTTTAAAAAGAACTAATTTACGTGCAAGACCATATTAATGGCACTAGCTAGTGTCACATTTAGTGGCTAACAATAGGCCATTAGCAATAAATCGTGAACCAATTGGCTTTTGTCAAGTCATCGTTTCGTGCTGGAATTCCACATCTCCACTTTGTTCGAACATTCGTTAGCGCGAGGTAAGACGTAATTACGAAAAAAACCCTTATTGTTTTGCAAATTTACATCCACCTCCCTGTCTATGGCTGAGTAGTCAAACGTAACGAGGATTCGTCATTCGCAATCCGGTTTGAGCTCGAATATGGACAATTCGAAACTCCTATTGCGAATACTATTTATTTTACAAAAATCGTAGATGCACTAAATGCAATACAAAAATTCAACGGAAATTTTGAATTAGCTGCCTAAGAAGAAGAAAAAAAACACGAAGCCTATCTTTCAGATGCGATTAATGTAATAGTCAACAAACTACCTATACGTAACTTCAGATCGGATTGTACAATTCTATCTATAATCCAATGGCTCGAAAAAAGGCAGCCAAAAATTATTGCAGTTCATCTGCTTCTCACAAAATAACATGAAGGAAAACCGAAGGAATTCAACTTACAACCTTAAATTAACGGTTCTTGATTATAGTAACCGAGATAAGGTAACAATGATCTTAAGTGCAATTTCTCGCACAAAATAACCAGAAAATCGATGTATTATGCGAAGAAGGTCACACATTCCATGCAATTAAAGGGCACATAAAGAACCTATGAGCTAGTGACACAATTAGAAGAAAAAATCGGGGAAAAAAGTTAGGTTTAGCTTTTGAGCATAATCGGTCAAAGAGAATAATTAATTTATGCTGCTTCACTCACATAACTAATATCTAACAGCCATGTACTCTAGAGATAGCAAAATCAATATAAATAACGACTAAAAGTCCGCAAAAAAAATTAATAAAACAATAAAAGGCAATGCTCAATAACCGAAAATCTCAAACGAAACAACTATGGGAAAGAAAAAAAAAGGGTATTAAAAGTTGGGCAGAAATCGTAATAAAAACAACAAAAGGCGATTAAGGGGCACTGAATTTAGCTTGTTGACAATGCTGAATAAACGGAGATCTCAAGCGAAATTCAGATATTTATAAATAGAGATTCATAATCGAAATTCCGAATGCAATAAAACGTATGTACTACAGGCCACATTGCAATAGAAAGTTAAATATATATATATACTCACTTCATCTTTTCATCTTTTCTTCGGTGAACAGAACATGTTCTCGTATACGAGGATCGAACTTCTTAAACTCGAGCTTTGTGAAATTGTTTTGGAGCGTCCTGCTCTTTTTGAAGACGTAGAAGAATCCGGTCCCGGCTGAGGAGACGAGCTTTACCAACTTAGCGCCCTCTTCTTCTTCTCACCCATTTTACTGTTGGGCAACAGTAACCCCTCCCAAAAATGATCAAATAAAAATTGGGTAATGGCCAAATAAACTTCCTGTGT